CAGCCAGCTGGGGGTCACTGTCCCATTAACAGCCCGCACGGGCGCTGATAAGCTTGTCTGTATCATGCTGGGCAGTGTGCAGAGGGCGTCTTATCAGCCCTGGTCCGGGGGGACTGCAGGGCCTGATGGGGGGCGTGATGGGGCATGTGATTACGGCCTTGTCGGTGCTGGATGCTGAGGGCCATTGTGCCGTGCTGCGGTTCCTCCTGTGACTGATGCGGCCTCAGTCGCCACCCCAATTAGGTGCAGAGAACCTGGCTAGGGCCTTCCAGATGGGGACATGTACGAGTCATTTTCAGCCTGCTTGGCAGCCTCCATGTAACAGCAGCAGACAGGATGGTGTCTGGGAGGCTGGGCACAAGGGGCGGATAGCTGTCTCAACTTCAAGGATCTTTGCCTTGAGGATTTGGTGGCGTTTGGGGCAGCGACTCTCCTGGCATGGTACTTGTTAGGAGGTTTAGAAAGGTTCGGATCTCTTGAGAAGCGTTTATGTGGCCGCTGGTCTGGCAGTGGCCAGCACCCTGATTCTGAGGCCCCCCAGGGCCTGAGGAGGGTCTTGACACCCAGAGTGTGGGGTGTCCCTCTCCCACAGACTCATTGGCTACCCTGCCCAGCAGCAGGCAGCAGGTGCTGGCTGCCTTTTGTCTCAACTCCTCTGCCTGAGCAGCACCCTGACCTTGGAAAGTTTCCATAGAAACAAAGAAGCAAGTGGACCTGGGTGGGGGCTGGTATCAGGTTTTCCCAGGCGGGGCTGGGGTGGGGAGCAGTACTGGCTTCCATTACTTCCAGTTTATAAGTCATCCTGAATCTCGGTGGCTTCCTGACCTGTTGAGGGCCAGGTTAAAGGTAGGTGTCCCAGGAGGGCTGAGATTGCTGGTGGGAGTTTTGAAACTGTGTGACCACTGCCTGGCATTGCGGACAAAGGGGAGACACTTGTGGCATTGGAGAGGGGCTTGTCCAGAGTGCGCCAGGAGACAGTGGAACTTTGGCCTTGCCCCACGGCCTTTGGCTCATCTTGAGTAGATGCTGTTCCTACCCTCATCCTCTGAACCTGGATGGGTAGCGTGACCTTGCCCATCCTTGGGAGGTTTGCGTGATGGGAGAGGGGCTAACTAAGCCCAGTCTTTGAAGGTGTCCTTGGATGGAGGCCTGATCAGAGTGCTGCCCTCGAGGGCCGGGGGTGGGGGGCTTCAGGGCCTGAGGAGGGGTCCACCAGGTGCATCTCTGCTGTGCACTCGGTGGGTGGGCTCAACAGTTTAGGTTCTTAAATCTCATAGTCCTGGGGTGAGTCTGGGCTGCCCAGGCTGAACAACCAGCGCAAACCTAATTCAGTCACCTCTGTGAGTCATGTCTACAGTGAAGTACATTGGTCCCAAGGGAACCAGAAAACCCAGGCGTTAGAGTGACTTCCCCTCAGCTGGACCTGGGTGCTTAATCCCTGAGTGGATGTATGTCCCTGGTTAAGAAATTTGAGGCCACATTCTGTGGGGGCTGCCATGACCTTGACACTCATGTTCTGAGCATCCTAATTGCTCTGCATCCCGCAGCCTTCCCTCTCTGTGATGCTCTCATTAGCCCTGATCCTTCTGCCCTTGGTAAAGATGGGTTACCTCTGGTACCCAGAATCTAGGTATCTCAGGAACCTCTGCTGGGACAGGCATCTTTCAGGTGGTTGTGGGGCAGGGATTTCTGTCTGGTACTCAAGAGCTTCCTGGCCTCTGTGGAGCCCCAAGTTTCTTTCTGGACATTTGTTTGGGCCTAACTGGCAGAGGTGTAGAGGCTCCAAGCTGGGTTACCAGGAGGAAGGATTTGACAGCATAGTCTCTTGCTTGCTCCAGCCTCCCTTGTAAGGCCCTCAGGTGACGGTGGCACAGCAGGCCCAGGGGAGCCCTAAGTGGCAGCTCTCTCCAGTCAGGTCTTAAGTCCCTTTAACTGTCTTGTAGGACCTACCAAGGGGCTCACAGTGAGTACTTTAGGTCCCCAAGAGGCCAGTCATGCAGATGGCAGGTCCGCTGTGGTGAAGGAGCCTTGATGTGTGGCCTTGCTATACCCAGCAGCCTCTCAGCTTAGGGGAAGCGTTACGTTGGCAGATGCTGATCGCTCCGAGGGATCAGTCTGCCTTTAGGTGCTCAGTGTCAAGTCCATCTGCCTCTGAAGTACCTTCCTCTTTGGAAGAGGTTCATTTTCTTTATGAAAAGGGGGAACTATTTTTATTTCTGCTCTCACGAATCAGGAACCAGAGAGTTGATGGATGTGGGGTTGCTGTTCAGGCTGCTATTCACAGACTGGGTCACTGGTGCCCTCATTTGTGTGTGCGCCAGGCTTCCCGTGAGCTCAGACTTGGCTTGGCTGATGTCCCTGTAGACATCAGGAGTGGCTCTGTGGGGCTGGTGTCTTCCTTGGGGTATCAGGACAGGCTTTCTGGAGGTGGTGTCCCTGAGGGTAAGAGGGCTGTTTGGAGGCTCCTGCCTTTTTTTAGTTTTCCCAGCGAGGGCAGACTGCTCAGACTAGCCCCTCTTCACTGTATGTCCTGCTACCCCAGGACTGCCACTTTCTCACAGTGTGGCACCCTATATTTTCTTAGCCTTTCTGAGGCTGTGTTTCCTGTGTCCTTGCTGCTCAGAACCAAACTGGGGTCCTCAGGGGCTGGCCTGGCCTCTGGGACTAAAGCCCCTGCAAGCCAAGGCCTTGCAGACTTGGGAGGTTTATGGGAATTTGCCTCATTTTTGTCAGAGAGAAGCTTAGTGAATGCTGGAGGCTCGGCCTGCTCCAGCAGTTGCTGGCTTCCAACCCCTCTGCAAGTCAGGTCAGACCAGGGTGTTGGCCTCATAGAGGAGGTAGCTGGATCGGCTAATGGCAGTGCTGGGGCCCCTGGCTCCCTAGAGCGCTACCCAGGGCAGGCTTGTCTATGGTCCCAGTGGGCCACCCGGCAAAGCCAGACTTGCTCTGCATCTCCATCTTGCTCCAGCTGTCTGTCCTCCACCCCGGGCCTCCTCTAGCAGTCTTAGTCTTCTGCTGGCTTCTACACACCTTGAGGGGGTGCCCCTCCCCCTTAGGCATCTTTAAAAGATGTCCTCTGCCCTGCCTCACCTGTGGAGGGGCCATCCACAGCTGTGAAGAGCTGGTTCAGAGTGGGTGTGCCCTGGTCTCTACTATCTGCTGAACACTGCGGTCACCTTGAGACCGAATACTTGGCAGCCCCTGTGTACTGTCTTCTCCCCAAATCCTAGGAACAGGTGTTCTCTGCACCCTCTTACAGGCAAGAAAGCTACTCTAGGAAGCCTGCTTGTCCTGCCTGCCCAGCTGGATGGCATAGCTCTTCCATTAGTTTCCAGCACTGGGCAGTACCAGGTAAGGGGCTTGTGACTGCCCTGCCTTGATTGTACCCAGAGATAACGGCTTTCTGAGGCAGGAAGGAGGATTTTCCTCATGAGGCTGCTGGGGTGGAATCTCCCAGATAGTGGAGGAGGGAGGCCGAGAAAGCCCCTGAGGGATGCCGGGACAGTATGGCTCTGTCTGCTGTGGCCCTTTCCCAGGCCCTGCCCATGTTCTTTGACCCACGTGGGAGTACAGTTTGGGTTGTAGCTCAGGAATCCTTCTTGCCTTGGCCATTCATTTTTCAGTGTACACAGTCTGGTAGGTGACAGCGTGGGCGTTGCTTGCCCACGTCTGACTGCGTGTTTCTTCTGTGAAGGTGCTGAGAAACTGACAAACACTTCCTTGCAAGGCTCATTTGAGCTTTGCAAACACACAGGCTCAGGCAGATACCAGGCAAATGCTTAAGGCGCTGTGTGAGGTTCGAGTTTGCACCTCAGGGTGCAGGACTCCTGGGCAGGGGTCCTCCACTCCCTACTGTGCCCTGGCTGCTGCACGGGGTACTGTACTACTGCGGCTCTGTTAAGGACTCCGCCATGCATCGTAGATTACTTTTATTTTCTGTGATGACACCGTACTAGGAAGAAGCTGTCCCTGGGGCCTCCTAAAAGACAACTCCTATTAAAGATGAGAGGAGTTACCAGCGCACCAGCAGCGTGGTGGGAGGTGCCGAGGAGGGCCCGAGGCTCTGGGCTCTTGCATGTTGGGTCCTTCTGAGGAGGACAGAATGGACCTGGGAGGCCTACTGGGATGGGGAGAAGGAGCTGGGGCATTTGGGGATGTGGGGAAGGGGTGGACCTGGTTAGATAACTTCTCATCCATGAATCTTTCACCTGGCCCAAACCCGGGTCTTCCTTTGGAAAATGGTGACAGGCAGAGAGAATGGCTCCACCAGGGTCACCGTGCTGTGAATTTACAGTGGTGATGTTCTTGGGTCCCTGTACCAGAGGTGTGGGGCAGGGCCCTGTAGCTCTCATGAGCTCAAATATGGTAGAAGCCCGAGACTTGGCTAGAGGATTTTGCGGGGGAGGGTGTTGCAGGACAGTGGGGACAACTGTTCCAGGGTCTGGGGCTGCAGGGAAACCCGCTCCAGGACAGAGACCCGACCTTTGGGATGTATCCCTGGAATACGGTCAGCTTGAAGAAAGCGGTGGAGGGTTAGGAATGGAGACTACGACACCAGGGCTCACCCAGGGCAGAGTGCAGTCCTGTGTGGACATGGACCATCTGCTACCTGTCCCGCTGGGGTCCCAGGCTGGGACCCCACTCAGGAAAATGGAGTTCAGGTGTTGCAGCCATAAGGATTTCTGGCTGTTTTCTCAGAGCGATTACCTGTATGGCTGATGCAGTCTGAGAGTGGGGCAGCCTGGTGTGGACAGACACAGGGACTCAGTGACGGGGTAACCCCTGCCTCTTCTTCCCCAGGGCTGCCCAGAAGCTCAGCCTGGCCTCCAAGCGCAAGAAGCATCACCCACCACCCGCGCCCACCACTCGTGGCACGTCTACCTACCCCACGGACTTCAGTGGCACGCTGCAGCTGTGGCCTCCCCCAGTGCCCCCCTGTCTGCTCAGGGCTGCCTCCAAGGCCAAGGAAAACTCCAGCAGCTTCGGAAAGGTAGATCCTACCCGAGGTCGGATGGCCTGGGTGTGGGAGGCCAGGGCTATCTTTTAACATGTAGGAGATAGAGGGCCCCACCCCCTTCTCCAGTGCCACACTTAGACAGCTGATGGGGGAGCCTGAGCCCTGGAAGCAATGCCCCAAAGGGTACAGAGAGTGTGGAACTGGTGTGGGAGATGGCAGGAAGGAGCTCGTCCCTCAGGTCCCAGGGGCATGTTCCAGGGTAGCCATGTGGTGGGCATCTGGGCCTAGGATGGGAGCTGACCTGGAGAGCCTCATTCTTCTTCGTCCCCCCTGAATGCTGCCTGGAGGTGGAAGGGGTGGGACACCTCAGCTTTTCTGAGTCAGGGTATCCAGGCAGCTCAGCCAGATGGCTTCAGTTGGGAAAACGGGTGTGGAGAGGGTGAGAGCCCTGTGTGGTAATGGGACAAGCTGGTTGGCTTCAGACCTTCTTCTAAGAGTCCGATTGGATTCCTATGATTGGTACCCTGTTGAGGGAGAAGTCCCTGTACCCCAGGCCCAGTGGGGTACCCTGTGGCAGGACTGTGCAGATGCTTGGGTGAAGAACCAGACTCTCACAACTGTTGTGGGAAGGGGTCCTGCCCTTCGGCACATACATTTCGCGGAGCCTCTGCCACTCCAAGGGTAATGTCCCTACCACACATCCTGAGAGTTATGGGGTCCCTTCTTGATTATGCCCAGCAACCATCCCTTGACTTGGCACCAGCCCTGCCAGCTCATGCCCTGCACATGTGGTCAGCATTGGCTAGCGGGAGTAGACTCCTGAATAGGGACCAGAGAGGAAGCTCTGTGTTTGCAAGTCTTCCTTCCAGAAGGGAGGCCTCCTTCTGTGGCAGAGCCAGAGGAAGGAAGAGCCCTCTAGACAGGGCTGCCCAGACAGGCAGCTGCAGGCTAGTGGGAGGGTCTGGGGCTCCTTCAGGCCCAGCTGACTTCACTGTGCACCCTTTTAGCATTGCAGGCAGCCTTCCTTGCCTCTGCCTCCTCTCAGAATGCTAATTGTGGCTGGAAGCCAGGCCTCCTGGCTCCTCCCTTCCCCTGGGATGGAGACACACCCCATGGTTTCCTCAAGGCAGTCTGCTGGAGGTGGCCTCTGTTGGGGTGGAGTGTGGAAAAGAGACTAGCCTGGGGCTGAGTGCAGACAACACGTGGCACGGGAGCCACGTACATATTTGGTGTGGCCTGCAGGGCTGTCACAGCCCAGAGTGTCGTAGAGTAGGATCAGAATGTTTCTCAGATCTGGATGGACTTCCAGTCGTGGGGATCTGCTCCTGGTCCCAGGCCACTGTTTTGCAGTGGTGGGTTTCATTGGACAGCTTTACTGTCTGGGACCTGATGGGACCATTCTGTGAAGGTCTGTGTGTATACAGTTGTCCCGCTCCAGTGGACCGCGAACTGGGCGAAGGCAACCTGCCTCTTTAAGGACAGATACAGTTCTTAGAGACAGGTGACACCAGCCTCTTTGCCCTATTCTTTTGGGAGAAGGGGTGTCCCTGACCCCCACAACCTGTGCCTGCCGGTCCTTGACTGCCCCCACCTTTTACACTGGCAGTATTTAGTAGATGAAGCTGGTGGTATCGGGAGGAAAAAGGAGGGAGATTGGACCCAGGCCTGACTGACGAGCACCGGGCTCCTCTACCTGCCACAGCTCCAGGACGGACAGGTGCTTCCCACTGACCAGGCCGTCACTATTCTGGCTGTGTAGGCTAGACCTGGAGAAGAATGGCTGAGCCTAGGGCCAGCCTGTTCGCTGCCTGTCTGTGGGGACAGTGTCTGCCGTGGAGACCGATGGGATAAGGAGTAAAAACTCCATTCTGGACATTAAAGCTCAGAACGGCAGCTGTTCTTTGCTGTCACTGTATTTTGGGGGCCTGCCAGGTCTCTGCTGACCCTGGACCACTCAGGGCTTTCCCCAGAGATGTCCTGGGCACCAGCCTGTTAACCAGCCCCTGTCCCCCGCACCTCTGTGCCCCTCCCCGGCTCCAGGTGTTATTAGCACTAATGTCGTATCATCAGAAGTGCTTCCTGAAAGGCCTTTAATATTGCCACAGAAAAGAAGTTAGATCACATTCGGTGTCTGACATTAATGTGCTACTTAAGATAATTCATCATACCGTGGTATTAAAAAAGACATCTCTCTGGTGTTGGGTGCTGAGCGGCGCCCCTCCCCCTCCTCGGATTGGTCCACCTCTGGGGAGCTGGAAGCCCTGCTTTTATGTAAAATATGCTTCCCCTCCCCCCAGCTCCAGCGGCTTTGTGATATCTGCACATTTGGGGGGTGAGGATGCTCTTGTCTCCTGAGAGACCCTGTCATTTCCCTGAGGTAATGACAGGTTCTTTACAGCAGACAATGGACGGGGGGCAGTGGGGGGCAGGCTGGACGAGGTGCCCTGCTCAATCCCCTCCCTGCCTGGAGACTCGGTATTAGTATCTGCTCAAGAGGCCTCAGGAGACATCAGAGCCGAATCGTAGCTTCTCCAGGCCTCTCCTCCCCACTAGGCACTCTCTCATATCTCCAGAACCCATTTGGTTCCTGAAGTGGTGAGGAGTTCACACTGGAAAAAAAAATTGCCAAAAATTACCTGGAAGTGCACATTTTCGTCTGCATTGCAGCAGCGTTTGGAAATGAAATCGTTTTGTTCCTGTCACCGGGGAATAAAAGAATCGATTCTCGCCTGATGGAGCCCAGGTTCTCAGTAGTACAATAGCCAAGTATTTCTCTGCTCCTCTCTCTCCCCAGAGGGTGGGACACTTCACTCCACGGGAGGCTCTGCATATCAATGTGCCCCTTGTCCACCAGGAGTGAGCCTGTGGGGCTCATGTAGACTGCCCCCCTAAACCAATTTTGCAGCATTATGTATCTGTCACTTACGATTAAATCCTTGAGAAATATTGGTTCTGAAATGAGTCCCTGGTAATTTGATTTACACCAATGTGGAGCCACAGATTTCTTTGGAGAGAGAAGGGCGTGTCCTCCAGCCAAGGGGAGCCCTAACTCAGGGTGGCCTTTGAGGAAATAGTGCCTGCTTGTCTCCCACCTTCTCCAATCTCCCTCTCTGCTGTCCATTGCTGCGCCTGTGGGCGTATCCATTCTCCACACAGGTTCTGGGGTGCTGCAGCGCAGCTTCCTTTGGCATCCTCATATCTTCCATTTCGTTTTCATGGAGGGTCTTGGGGTCCGTTGTTCCAGATCCTCTGGACCCTGGCTGGCATGGTCACTAGGCACAATGGAATCTCCTGTTTCCGCCATGGCCCAGGCTGACTAGCCGATAGCAGAACCCCAGGAGCACAGGTCCATCCTTGCCCTCTCCTCTTCCGCACACCTCCCCGCCTCAGTTTACCCAGATTGGGCCTTGTTAGGCAGGATTTCAGAATTCCTACTTCTCAGGCTGGATTCTCGTCCCATGTAATTTCCTCCATGTTTCGCCCATCCTAGTTCTCCCTTCTGTGAGCTTCTTGGGCCCGGCTTCCTGAGCTGTTGCAGGGCAGCGGCAGCAAGCCTGGAGATTTCCCCACAGCGTCTTGGCCCTCTGAGGGAGAACTGCTTAGCGGGCCTAGACATTCCTGTCCCTGCTAACTGCCCTCTCCTTCCCAGCCTCGCCTTGTCTCCCGCTTTGCTGAGACCAACTATGCACCCTACCAACTCCACCCCACCCTGGGCTTCATTTTCCCTCTACCCTGCTGACCTCATATGGGATCTGCTCAGGCAGCATTCCTGTGGTGTGGGCGCCCATGTTGAGACCTGGTCTGCTGTCCTGACTCTTGCCTGGCTCTCCTGCCCTGTAATTAGTAACCAGCTGGGGGGAGGGTGGAGCTCAGTTGCCTGCTTCTGCCAACCCCCAGGTAAAGGTTATGCTGCGCATCTGGCCGGCACAAGGAGTCCAGCGCTCAGCTGAGTCTACATCCTACCTGAAGGTAGACCCTCGGAAGAAGCAGGTGACGCTCTATGACCCTGCCGCCGGGCCCCCAGGCTGTGCAGGCCTCCGCCACGCCCCCACAGCACCAGTCCCCAAGATGTTTGCTTTTGATGCCATCTTCCCCCAGGACTCAGAGCAGGTACAGTGGAGGGCTACTCCTGGGTGCGTGTGATAGGATAAAATCTGTTCCTCTGCAGAGTGGGAGCTTTGCTGCCTATAGGGCCTGCCAGGTCTGCCTCCCTAGCAGTCCTAGCCCAGGGCATTTCCCCAGCCTCTGCCTGTTCTCCAGGCCAAGTGTTGGGGAACACTGAGCTCTTTAGGCCCCTTCTCCTATGAAACTCTTTGAAGCAGCTCTGCTCTTTCCTGGAAACTAGGAACACTGAGCAATGACCATGACTTCTTCTTGCTTCCAACTTTCAGTGCTGGGTCAGGTGTCCAGGCGCATGTGCCTAGCTAGGAAATCCTACCTGTATTGTACATGTCCCGTCTGCTGACTTATGTGTCCTGTACTTTCCATATGAGTGTGGGAGGGCCCTGTGTTCCTGGCCCTGTGTCTGTTGGTTCATGTGCCCTGTGGGGTTGCCAGCCTTCATGTGATCAGGACTGATGGGCCTTAGGTTTACAGATGTAGCAGAAGACACTGGCCATGGCCCTTAGGCTGTGGAACCTAGCTAATACCCACTGGGTTCCTCCCCAGGCTGAGGTCTGCTCAGGGACCGTGGCTGACGTGCTCCAGTCTGTGGTTGGTGGAGCTGATGGCTGCATATTTTCCTTCGGCCACATGAGCCTTGGTAAGTGCTGTCACTCCTGTGCACCCATGCTGCCTTCTAGCTGTTGTCGTCTACCCCCCAGCAGGCATGTTGCTGCCATCGCTGAGCCTAGCCCTGGTTGAGGTTCTCCATGTGGATGTGGGAGTGGGTGTCTCACAGCAAAGCTGGGGCAGGCAGAGCCAGAAGGCAGAGGCCTCAGAGTGGCTGGGTGTGGTATCACGACCATCTGGGTTGGTCCTAGGACCCTGGGCATGTTTCTGAGCCTGGAAGTGTTCTTGAGGGCAGGTTGTAGAGAGTTAGCAGTGGTTCTCACATGCCGCTGTCTCCCAGGGAAGTCATATACCATGATTGGAAAGGACAGCTCACCCCAGAGTCTGGGCATCGTGCCCTGTGCTATCTCCTGGCTCTTCAGGCTCATTGATGAGCGCAAGGAAAGGATGGGCACACGCTTCTCCATCCGTGTGTCTGCTGTGGAAGTGTGTGGCCATGAACAGAGTCTGCGGGATCTGCTTGCTGAGGTGGCTTCCGGTAGCCTGCAGGACACCCAGTCTCCAGGCATGTATCTGCGGGAAGACCCCGTGTGTGGGACACAGGTACGCCAGTGCTTTCAGCCTTTCTGGAACTATGGAGGAGGGAGAGGGAGCACGTTGCTTGGTCTCAAGCCACTAAATACATGTGTCCTCCACCTTTTCTCTCACAGCTCCAGAACCAGAATGAGCTGCGGGCACCCACAGCAGAGAAAGCAGCCTTCTACCTGGATGCGGCCTTGGCAGCCCGCAGCACTAGTCATGCCGGCTGCGGGGAGGACACCCGGCGCAGCTCCCACATGCTCTTCACGCTGCACGTGTACCAGTATCGTGTGGAGAAGTGTGGCCAAGGAGGAAGTAGGTGCACGGTGTTACGGGGCACTTCCAGGCAGTTGCCAGCCCACTGAGGGGTCCTTGTGGGCATCTCTGCCTGCATGGGTGGGTGCCCAGACCTCAGCCCTGCTTGTACTGTTTTCAGTGTCTGGAGGTCGCAGCCGCCTGCATCTCATCGACCTGGGCAGCTGTGAGACAGCACTCAGCAGAGGCGGGGAGGCTTCTGGAGGACCCCTGTGTCTGTCGCTGTCCGCTCTGGGCAGTGTCATCCTGGCCCTGGTCAATGGGGCCAAGCATGTGCCCTACAGGTGAGATGGGAGCAGGCACAAGCAAGGTGACTTCTGGGGAGCTGGCTATTTTGATGTCTGGTGTTTCTGGGGGCCAGTTCAGGGCCAGCAGTGTGTCCTGGAGCTCTGGGTGCAGGGACAGGTGCAAGGTTATAGGTTCAAGGGCACAGTGAGAGCTTCACGCGTAGCCCCTATCCCCCAGCCTAGTGGTCTACGCCTCACCTGGCCTTCCACCTAGATGGCCCCTCACCCCAGCCTCTGAGCACCTCCTTGGCTTGTAGGGACCACAGACTCACCATGCTGCTGCGGGAATCCCTGGCTACTACCAACTGCCGGACCACTATGATAGCACACATCTCCGACTCACCAGCCCACCACGCAGAGACCCTCAGCACTGTGCAGCTGGCTGCCCGCATCCACCGCCTGCGCAGAAAGAAGGGCAAGGTAAGCCCTGGCTCTTGCTCCTTCCTGAGGGCCCTCAGACTCCCACATCCTCCATAGCCCCCACCTCTGTATGTCAGGGAGAGGAGGCAATAGATGTGTTTGTCTGTGGGTGGATCTCTTATGCCTCCAGAGAAGAGCCCAGGCCCAAGTCCCTGGCACACTGGGCAGGGGTGGAACTGTTTACAATAGGGTTTATGTTGTAGGGGGACAGGAGACTTCTCAGGAATGCTGGGTGTCCTGAGGTTACTGCCCTGGGTCTGAATGCCGCACTTGGTGAAACATGGCCTTTCTGCCTGAGCTCCCTCTCCAACCTGTGACATGGTCCATGATCACCTCTCAGAGCTCCCTAGAAGGCCCCCTTCTCTTCTGTGCCCTGTGGTGTAATTCCTTGCTCAGCTGCTACTGTCTCACAGAGTTTACACTCTTACGTTGAGAGGGCAGAGTCCAAGGAAGAGATGAGGTGGGGACCAGGGTTGCGTGCAGACAGGGTGAGTCCACTCACAAGGGCCTGTCCTTCTGCCCTCAGTATGCATCCAGCTCCTCGGGAGGGGAGAGCTCCTGCGAAGAGGGCCGGGCCCGCCGTCCCCCACACCTGCGACCCTTCCACCCACGCACCATGGTCCTGGACGCTGACCGCTCGGCTCCTGGCCTGTCTGGAGACCCCGACTACTCATCCAGCAGCGAGCAGTCCTGTGACACAGTCATCTATGTGGGTCCTGGCGGGGCAGCGCTGTCAGACCGCGAGCTCACCGACAATGAGGGCCCACCTGACTTTGTGCCCATCATCCCTGCGCTGAGCCGCCACAGGCCCTCCGAGGGACCCCGGGATGCCGACCACTTCCGCTGCAGTACATTTGCGGAGCTGCAGGAGCGTCTTGAGTGCATAGATGGCAGTGAGGGATTCCCTGGTCTCCAGGGTGGCTCCGACGCAGCCCAAGCCAGCCCCGCCAGAGGAGGCAGGAAACCCTCGCTACCAGAGGCCACGTCCCCCAGGAAGGCTATGGGCCCTTCTATGGTCACCAGTTCCCCTCGAAGCAGCCCTGGGCAAGATACTCACCGGAGCACCTCAGAGCCCTCTAAAACTGGTACCCAGAGTGATCAGAGAGTAGATGGTACCCGGCCTGAGCCACCCGCCCCAGACAAGACTGCAGGGGGTGGCTGCAGGAGGCCACTGCCCAGTCCAGCTCCTCCACCGCCTCGGCAACCAGAAGCTCGCGGTGTCCCCACCGAACCTGGGGGAGAAGGCCCTGATGGTGTGATGCGGACACCCCCCGTGGGCATGAGTGGGCAGATGGCCTTGTCCCCACTGCTCTCGGACACGCCTTATCCTGGTCCATCTGCTCGTGGACGCCATCTGGAGCGGGGCTTGCTGACCACCACAGTTACCCTGCAGCAGCCAGTGGAGCTGAATGGCGAAGATGAGCTGGTGTTCACAGTGGTAGAGGAGCTACCTCTGGGGGGGCTTGCAGGGGCCACACGGCCTTCCAGTCTGGCCAGTTTGGGCAGTGACTGTTCTCTGCAGGCCTTGGCCTCAGGCTCAAGGCCAGTCAGCATCATCAGCAGCATCAATGATGAGTTTGACGCTTATACCTCACAGGTTACTGAGGGCCCAGGAGACCCTGGGGAGCTCATAGAGGGAACGGCATGGCCTGGTGGCAGTCCCGCCTCGTCCATTGGCTCCTGGCTCAGTGATGTTGGTGTCTGCTTGGCTGAAAGCCGTGGTTCCACACCACAGCCTCCCTTCAGCCCTGACTCTGCAGCAGGGCCTGGTCCACCAGAGTTTCCTACCCCAAGCGGCTCCCTAGAGGACAGCAAGATGAGGTCCTCAGAGTGTGGAAGACCAGACAATCTTGGCTCAGCCTGGTGTCCCCACCCTGTGGAGGCAGTCACAGCAACTCAGACCCGACCCAGCAGAGAGCCTCGGGCTGGGTCTCCACATGAGGCAGCCTCAACCCAAACCATCCACTCCAGTCTTCCCCGGAAACCCAGGACTACCTCATCCAACCGTGTTCGCCCCAGCCGGGGTCCATACAGCCCCGGAGGCCTGTTTGAGGACCCTTGGTTTCTCCGGGCAGAGGACTGTGACACACACCAGATGGCTTCCACAGGCAGCATCCCAAGCTCAACCCCAGGCTCCCCTCGACTGCCTGAGGCTCAGATAATGCTGGCTTGTGCCCAGAGAGTAGTGGACGGGTCTGAGGTGACAACCAGAATGTCCCGGAGGCAGGAAGCTGTGGCTCGGATCCCACCTCTGCGGAGAGGAGCCACCACGCTGGGAGTGACCACACCTGCTGCATCCTGTGGGGACTCTCCAGTGGAGACAGTGGTCCACTCAGGAAGCCTGAAGACCAGCTCCAGCAGTAAGAAGAGTGTGTCTCCCAAGGGGGCCTTCTTTCCAAGGCCTAGTGGAGCAGGTCCGCCAGCCCCACCTGTGCGCAAGTCCAGTCTGGAACAGAGCACGGCCCTGACCCCTACCCAGGCCCTGGGGCTGACCCGGGCAGGGGCTGCTTCTGCCTTCCGAGGGGAGGACGAGGCCAGGCCCAGTGGCCGGTCTGATTACTCTGTTCCCAAGGCCACATCCAGCCTGAAAGCCCGAGCTGGCAAGATGGAGGTGGCACACCGTCCCACTGGCCACATGTCCTTGGAGCGGTACGAGGGCCCGACTCATGGTGGCAGCAAGGTCAGAGAAGTCCCAGGACGGCCACCGAGGGCTGTGCCCAGGTTGGGTGTACCACCCGCCAGCCCCCCACTTGGACCAGCTCCTGCCTGTAGGAGCAGCCCAGCTAAGGGTGTTGGAGCATCCAAGCCTCCAGCTGGTGGGGCCAAGGGTCGTAATCTAGGGACTAGTACATCTCGGGCACTGGGTGCTCCAGTGAAGCCACTGGCCCCTGTGGCAGGTAAGACAAGTGGCCCTGTGCCAGGGCCCCGGACGGCTCCACGGCCTGCACCTGGTATTGGGACCAAGACCGGTAGGGGCACCATCATGGGCACTAAACAGGCCTTCCGGGCTGCCCATAGCCGTGTCCATGAGTTGGCAGCCAGCGGATCTCCCGGTCGGGGTGGCCTCTCCTGGGGCTCGACCGACTCAGACAGCGGCAATGACAGCGGCGTGAACCTGGCTGAGGAGCGGCAGCCCGTGAGCCCGGCCCTGCCCTCCCCCTACAGCAAGGTGACTGCACCTAGGAGGCCCCAGCGCTACAGCAGTGGCCACGGCAGTGACAACAGCAGCGTGCTGAGTGGGGAGCTCCCCCCTGCTATGGGCCGCACTGCGCTCTTCTACCACAGCGGTGGCAGCAGTGGCTATGAGAGCATGATCCGCGACAGCGAGGCCACCGGCAGTGCCTCCTCAGCCCCTGACTCGATGAGTGAGAGTGGAACCGCCTCCCCGGGTGCCCGCTCCCGCAGCCTCAAGTCCCCAAAGAAGAGGGCCACAGGTGGGCAGCAGTGACTGTCTCTGGGAACAGCCCTTTACAGTTTGTAGACCTGAGAGATCCTTGACGGTGCAGTTGGCTACCCCAAAGGCGGGTTTTACAGCCCTGTAGTTCTTGGCGGTGGGCCTGGGTTCTCCACCCTGATACCTCACCCTGTGTGGTCTCTGGGATAGTTTACGAATGCCAGGTGTGCATAGTCCTTGGCAGTTTATAAGCCATGGGGCCCTACGACACCTCGTAGTATATAAACTTAAGCCCAACGCTGGGAAGGATCTTCAGATTGTGGGTGCAGGTGATACCAACCAGCGTGTTATTAACTACTCCGGGGCTTTGGTGCATGTGAGGTACATGACCCCGTAGTTTACACCATCCTGGTGTATTCCCTCCCCTGACCCCACTCCACCCCAGAGACTGCTTCTTAACTCTGGCAGAGTAGTGAGACAAGGGTTCGGTTTAAGCTGGGCAGTAGGCTCTGGGCTCTGGACTGGGCTCTCCCCGGCTGCCCGGGAGCTCCTACCAGCACTGTTCTGACTTCCTCTCTGTCGACCCGAGGGCAGGGAAGGTGTCAGTTAGAGCCACAAGTGCTGCTGCTGTGAGATCAGTTGGTGTGGTCGTGCAGGTGATGCGGCTAGAGCCTGCCGTGTCCCTGGCTCTGCTCATAGCACCTGGCCCTGTTTCAGGTCTACAGCGACGGAGGCTGATCCCGGCCCCTCTACCCGATGCTGCTGCCTTAGGCCGCAAGCCCAGCCTTCCTGGGCAGTGGGTGGACCTGCCCCCACCCCTGGCTGGCTCTCTGAAGGAGCCTTTCGAGATCAAGGTGTATGAGATAGATGACGTGGAGCGCCTGCAGCGGCACCGTCTGCCTCCAAGGGAGGACGAAGCCAAGGTAAGGGAGGCTACAGTCAGGCTGGGCGCCCTGGGGTGTCAGGGAGGGCCAGTACATGGGCTCTCTGGGCCCCTAAAGGTTCGGCCAGGAAGCTCCTGACATCTCCTTTTTTGTCCACAGCCCTCTCAGGATGTGGAGAAGGTAGGAACCAGCCTGAACTATCCCTGAGCTTGTAGTCCCTAGTGCTTTTCCCAGGGGTGGGCCACTGGAGGGACTCTCGAGGCCACTGCTGTGTTTCCACAGAGCTGGATCCACAGTCCAGGAAGTCCTGGTGTGGACCCTTGCAGATCCTGTCCTCCTCACCTTCAAGGCCTGGCCGTGTGTGTATATAGGGCCTGAAGTGGGAGGGGAGACAATGGCTAAAGCCAGGGTACTAAGAAGCCTTAAGGAGAGAGTCCCTGCCATCTATATCTATATAGAGATGTATATATAGATTCTTTATTTCTGTCTGTCTCTCTCTGTCTGTCTATCTATCTCTATCTATCTATCTATCTATCTATCTATCTATCTATCTATCTATCTATCTATCTATCTAGTATAACCCATTCTTCGTGTCCCTCGCCAACAGGGCCCAGTTTGCATCAGCTCCAAACTGCGGCTTGCAGAGCGCAGGCAGCAGCGGCTGCAGGAAGTGCAGGCCAAACGTGACCACCTCTGTGAGGAGCTGGCTGAGACCCAAGGCCGGCTGATGGTAGAGCCTGGACGCTGGCTGGAGCAGTGTGAGTGCCCCAGTCGCTCTGTGGCTGAACAGTGGGGTACCCAGCAGGTGCAGGAGCCCAGACCCTACCCCCTAGCCTCTCCCTTCTCTGCTCTCATTAGTTGGTGGCAGGAGGGGAGAATCCACTGAGCTGACACTTTTCCCTGGGGAACTTGAGGAGTTTGGCTGCTGTCCTGGCCTCCACCCTGATCCTGTCTCGTCTCTTTCCAGTCGAGGTGGACCCAGAGCTGGAGCCGGAATCAGCTGAGTATCTGGTGGCCCTGGAGCAAGCCACAGCTGCGCTGGAGCAGTGTGTTAACCTGTGCAAGGCCCACGTCATGATGGTCACCTGCTTTGACATTGGTGTTGCTGCCACCACTGCTGTCCCTGGGCCGCAAGAGGTGGATGTTTGAGGCGAGCACAGGTCACAGGCAGGGACATGCAGGGCAGGGTGTGCGAGCATAGAATGTGGGATGGAATGAGGATGTGGAGGGGGTTGGAGGGTTGAAGACACAGGGTCTGTGAAGGATGGGGGGAGGATCTCAGAGAGGGGGGGGGAGGGGAGGGCCAGCCAGTGGACAGAGAGCACGGGGATGGAGAGACTGTCGTCACCCAGACAGCCACGCAAGTGCCTTTAACCTTGAGTAGGCCTTTTCTTTTCTAATTTGGTGCTATGGACTCAAGACAGGACTCCAGACACCAGCAGATGTCAGCCAGGGTGGCTGCGGCCACGCTGGCCAAGCTCAAGCCAGTTTGTTTGATTTTGCCTTCCTCACCACTGAGCAGTTTTGTGTAGCAGGGCGGTCCTGTTCGAACCAGCTCTCTTTTAGGATTGGTTCATTTTCTTCTCCAGCAGCCTTCCCTCAACAGCCCACGCGAGTGGCCTCCACCAGTCTGGAGCAGTGGTGTCTCAGCTAGCCTCGAGTGCCCTCCTGTCGTCGGGGGCCTCACTCTCTTCTGAGGACACCAAAGGCCACAAGCGGGGCTGGGCCATGAGCACACAATGCTTTCTTCCACGGCAGGAATTCTTACCAAAACCACAAGAAAAAAAAAAAACACAAACAATGAAACAAGGCACCGCCAACAAAGACGGGGTGTGAGGTTTTGTAAACGTTCTGTTAGCTTCATATTTTTGTATCATTTTGCCTAAAAACAGAATTTGCAGTGGGAATTTGAAGACGAATTATCTAAGTTTTTATGGTTTTCTACAGGTATTCCTAGGTCGGGGGCTCTTGGCAGCTGTGGGGGCAGGCTTTTTCTGGGGAACACTGAGGGCAGTGTTGGGGGGAGTCTGTGGGAGGCGATTTTTGTCAAATGCAGATGAGGGGTGAGCCTGCCAGCCTGTGATGTGGCCCGCACGCAGGTTCGTGCTTTCTGACCGTTGTGTATTTTATAGGCGTCCAGACCTTTGTACAAATGTGTAGATAACATCTTGCGACAGTTTTTATTTGTGAATAAAAGATGTGTTGATTGTTCCTGTGGCTCTGAGTTCACTGGGTGCCCCTGGGGTGTTCACATTTTGCAGTGAGGGGGCTGAGAAGACTGCTGGGCAGAGGGAAGCAACCATGGGACCTGAGGATCTCAGGGAGCTGTGCTGGGGACTTGTTCTTTGCCCACTCTGTCTGTGAGCTGCCATGAAACTGAAAGGTGACTATCCGCAGCCTGTGTTCAAGCCCACACTTCTTCTTTAACCCCCAAGACCTAAAAGGATGAAGCTGAGAGTGGTCTTGGGGGCAAGGCTGGAGGGAAACAGCCTTTTGTGGCAGCTGCCAGCTCCTCCTCAAAGGGTAGCTTATGTGGAGAGACGAGAGAGGCAAACCTGCAAGGCCAGAACAACTCCTGAAAGGCTTTGCTTTCTTTCCTTTGTTCCCGGCCTGTCTTCCAGGGGCCGAGCACATGGGAGCCCTTGCCCAGCAGGGCTAGCTCCTTCTCTGGTAGGGTGGCCTAGCCTCTCACACTCCTTGTCACCTACTGAATTAATTTGCCATCTCCTTTCGTTTGTCCCTGTGCCAGGTCCCCTTGCAGGCTCCCTCCACCCTGCGAGCCCTGGGAAGCTCTGCTTTTCATTATTCCTGCCCCTCCCAGCAGCCCCCGTGCCCCCCTCTGGCCTCTGGCAGTGTTTGTGGGGGCCTCTCCATGGTGGCCCTGCTTCCAGGGCCCATCCTTGGTGGCAAGTCACACCTTGTGTGGTCTCACTGGGGCCCCTGGGTGGGGTAGGGTCTGAGTCATCATCACACTTCTGCGTGGCACAGAGCTGGGCCCCACTGAGCCCTGGGGGGTGGGCTTGCTGAAGAACGTCAATGAATGAACAAAGGAATGAGTCTCCTTATAGACAGCCCCGGTTGGGGCAGGAGCTGGCTCAGGGCAGACAGCACTCCACAGTTTGCAGAATGCCTAGCAGTTGTTCTAACGCAGAGTCTGTTCTCTGTGGCCACTGTGGGTCAGGCCTCTGGGTCGTCCCCCTGGGACTGCCTGCTGCTTCTGCGGTAGCAGGTGTGTGGGGTTGGGATTATAGGCCAGTATTCTGCTTTCCCCAGTACCGTGTCCCTTCTGTCCTGAGGCCAGCAGCACCCAAGACTGTGGGGAGGATGCTGCTTTAAACTAGGTCTGTGTTATCCAAGGCATTTGTCCTTGGATTTGGAGGGTTCTGTTGCACAGGGTATGTTGAATTTGGGGGTAGTGGGAATTCTCACGGGAGAGACAAGAAGCTCACTTTATGTCTTGCAGCCTGATGCTCCTGTGCACTGCACAGAGGCGCTGTCTGCTGGAGCAGGGCAACATAGGATCCGGGCAGGACCCACAGAGATTCTGGGAAAGGCCTCCCACGGGCCCCTGGTGCGGCCGTGCCTCCCGTCATGGTTGTGCCATCTGGGCTGTGAGGGTGGGCAGCAGCTGGGACCCCTCAGCTACACTTCCGTCTTGCCGTCACAGGAGTGGGCCAGAGCCTCCTCCACAGAGGGAAGCGTCCCTGGCCTTGACTCCCAAGCTCCTTGATGGCCTCCTAGGTACAGCCCACTGCCCACAGTCCAGGCTTGAGGAGCATACAGCACTTGCTTTCCTGCATAAGGAACTCACTGTCCTGAGGCTAGCCTGGGAGCCTTGCATGGCCTTTCATCTGGGACATCAAAGCCCTCAGCCCTGTCATTAAGGGCTGGGAATCCCGTGGGGAGCAGTGCAAGTCCCACTACGCCCATTTTATGGATGGGAACCCAGCAGTCACCCAGAACCCAGCTCTGTAGTGGAAGCTGAGCCCGTGGCAGTCTGCCCTATGCCTCTTGTAATGGGTCTGTGTGTGTCCTCCTTAGTGACAGGAAACTGAGGCAAGGGGGAGGGGCCTCTCAAGCCGTATTCCTGCCTCTCCTTAGAGGAGGGTGGGTTGAGACCCTGAAAGGAGCATTTCTGAGAGTGTACAGCCTGTGGAAGCCTGGAATACAGCTGCGATGCAGACCAGCTCTTAAGGGAAGGTAGTCAGCAGGGACCAGAAGCTCGAGGGGCTGGGGCAGCTGCCTGGGCCTTGTGGGGGCACAGGCTGGTGGCAACTCAGGTGTCAGCTCCCACAGGCTCAGAAGCTGACCTGGCACTTGGCCACACTCTTCCCCAAGGCAAGGTGCTTGCCTGACTCAGCCTACAAGTTGGAACCTGTTCGGCTTGCCCTAACCACTCCACCCTGGTACAGAAGGCCCGATGGGTAGGAGGGGCAAGAAGCTTCCAGGGCACAGTACGGGACTCATAAGAGGCCAGAGACAGATTATCTAAACAGGCAGGCAGCAGCAGCAATGCAGTAGCTAAAATGCATGGCTGCAACCCTGAGGAGGTGCCGTGGGTGTTAGCTGAGCAGGGCCATGCCTGTGGCCTCCAGAGGCCACCATCTGTGTTTGTGTGCAGGACCCCTTCTCCAAGTACTACGCCGGGCAGGGACGAGGGATATTTACCTCAGATTCAGAACCCTGCCGTAAGATCAGAGGCATGGAGTAGGCTTCATGGCACTTTCTGGGGCTGAAGGATCTTGGAGAATGATGCTTGGCTCTCTAAGACCTGTGAGCTCCCCTCGGTCAAAACCACAGAGATCGGAAGTGACCCACAGCACTGGTCAAGGGAAGGTGACACGGGGTCATCTGATGACACTGGTGGCCCTCAGGGAAGAGGGTGAAAGGTGTTGGTAACAGACATCGTGGCGGCAGAGGTCTCAAGCCTGGCTGACAGAGATCTGGGTGGCAGGTGCTTTGGATCTTCTCTCCCTGCCTGTCTGGTCCTTTCTCACCCATCTCAAAGGTCAGGCCAAGCAGGGACCAGTCTGATGGCCAGGAGCCTTCTTTTCCTTAACTTGTTTGACCTTGGGGAGTGTGGTGAAGCCCTGTGGCCAGGCCCTGTGGGACAGTCGCTGAACCTGCCCTGGTGACAGGGTTTCCCAGGTGCTCTAGTGGCTCTGCCCATCCCCATTTGTCCCTGACACTGCTTCCCTTCCTTTGCCAATGCCACAGTTACATGTGTATATGTTCAAGATGCCAGTCCCCTTTGGGATCTCACCTCGTGCTCGCCCTGGCTGCTTTGGGCTCACAAGGCTCCGAAAGTGCACTCTGGAAGTGGCCCCAGCTTTAGGGGGTCTACCTCATAGTCCCGGGGAACCACAGGGCCTTCCAGAAGAAACCGTACCACCCTGAACTGGGATAAGACACCCTCCCCCCACCCACCTTCCCACCTCCCTGGCTTGGCTGCATCTCTCCTGGGCTGGGAGCACTGGGACCAGGCCCTAGGATCTGCTCCCAGCAAACAGGAAGCTCACACAGAGATCTCTCCCTCCTGATATTGTGTTTAACAAGGCAGGCTGTTTCCACACAGGAAGCCCTGGAGGCTGGGAGGGGCTGGGAAGGAATTCCCTGAGCTGCCAAGAGGCCAGCTTTCCTGTAGGGTGGAGGTGGGATGAGGTCTGGTGGGGTCTTGGTCAGGGGCCAAGAGCTACCCAGTGGTGGGATTCACTAACAACCCCAGATTGATGGCCCTAGAAACTCTCAAGTTAGGAGGGATACTGAGGCCCAGCCCGAGTCTGTCAGTCCTTCAGATAGGGTAGGGCAGAAGGCTTCCCCTTCTGCAGGGTCCAAGGGAGGCCATGTCCAGGAGCTGGGCTAGGGACATCTGTTGGCGCACTTCAGGAATGGTAAGGAGGTCAGGTCTCCTTGACCTTTCTCTCCAGGACATTGCTCTTTCCTGGGCAGCCGCTTCAGGTGCCTTCCTTGCCTTTCAAGTGCCCCCCAAACCTGTTAGATGGGGTGAGGTGCAGGATTGCCATCCCAATTACTGGGGAGACAGGCATTCAAATCCTGCCTAGACTATAGAGTAAGGCCCTGTCTCAAATTTACAAAGGAAAAGGACAGGGACTAGAGGGTTCACTAAGAGGTTAAAAGCCCTGACTGCTCTTCCAGAGGATCCGATGGCCTCTTAAGGCCTAGCACCAGGCCCACACAGGTGCACAAACATAAACCAAGGAAAAATACATACATAGAATAAAAGTAAAG